AGTCCACATGTGATTTTCATATTTAATTGATGTAAGATATATTCTAATTAACATGCAATTGCAATATCTAGGTTCGTTTGATATTTCCAACATGGAATCCAATTATTCACTCGAGAAAGATTTAAATTGATTAAATTGCCCCATTTGAGCCTTTTAGCCTATGATATCATATTGAGTTTTGTGGTTCCTTCGTAAAAGGTCAACTTTTTTTTTAAAAAAATATATATAGTTCAAACTTTTATATATTAATTATTTAGTTATTATTTTCATTTTTAACCATTTTATCTTTAGATTGAAGTGCGGCGCAGGACGATATTTCAAATTTGTTACAGTATTTGAAAATAATAAAAGAAGAAGAAAGCAAGCTTTTATGAGTGGAGAAAGGTCGAATTTTCACCACCCGTTTTGATAGAAAAAGTCAAATTTTCATTACATTTCAGTCCCCACATTTTTATTGCAGAAAGAAAAAGGGCCCTACAAGCTTCTGTTTCAATTATTATACATTTAAAAATCTCATATTTTGGTAGCAAATTATTGTGTAGAGTCTGTGTGCAAACAACATTCAACATTGGCTTTATGTTATATTTTCATGCCGACACAAAGAAAAGAAGGCCCGTGAGATTGACCAATATATATATATATAGAGAGAGAGAGATTCTTGTACGGCCAAAAGACAATCTTTATTAATTTCACATGCTGAAGCATGAAAATTACAATAATTTTCATATTAAGCTATCGGTATTATATTATAGGACTTTTTTTTTTTGACTAGTTGAGTTATCAGAGAATACGATCATCATTGTAGGTTTGTTTTAACATATCTTATCATGACTCTCATGGGGTCGTGAGTCGTGGTGGCAATGCAGAGGTGAATGGTGGTGGCAGTTTTTCTAAATTCTAAACCCAAATTGGGTTGGAGAAAATTCTTATAGTTTGTTAAGCTATATCCATATCAAGTAGAACACGTACATATATGAAGAGCTAAACTATATGATCGTTAAGAATTTGTTACTAGTCGATCATTAGTGATAATTGTGAAAATAAATGAGTCAGCATATCGATTTACGAAATATACTTCATAAATATATAATACATGTTTAAATTTTATAATAGTACCAATTAATGGATAATTTATTCACATTTAATAATTTTTACTCAATTTTTCAATTGGATCGCTATATATATATATATATATATATATTAAAAAACCCATATATTGATATGTTTCCATTTTTATTTTATTCACCATTGTTTTCAATTAGAGTTCTAGGGGATTTTCACGGTAATATAATTTCACAAATAAGGTGGTGTTATTGACATTTCAAGCAACGCACTCGAAGAATATTACCAATTCAAAAGAATCGACTGACGAAAGGATTTTTTTTTTCTCCTATTTTTTTCATGGTGTTTTGGTAAGTATTTATCTAATTTATAGTTTTTATGTCCACGTCGCAAAAGTGGATGGAGGGATCTAAATTGAAACAACATTGAAGTGCAATGATATATTTGAACAAATTGAAATATAGTGACTTCGTTTTAATTATGTCAAGGTGTACTGACCGCAATAAGAACTTAAACGAAAACGCACAAGGGCTAAAATAGGTTTTATGGTAAGGATTAATAGACATTAGCCTGTTTTGGCCAATGTTTATAAATTGTTTATGTACGGTCAAATCGCAATTTATTCACAGTACATTTTGTGAATCCAATAAAAACTACCAATTTATCCATCACTTATTCCTATCAATGCATAATTTAGACTATTATAAACAGTTGTCAAATAAGTCATTCGTTTCCACTTCTTTGTTTCGTCTTTTTTTGGGATACGATAAAAGAAAGTCAAAATTTGAAAGAAGTGATTTTATATGTATAAAATACACATAAAAAACAAATTTATATATAAGTTCTTTTGTTACCACGAAACGTCACTATAATAAGATTTTTAGTAGATTACGATAAAAATTGATGAAATGTGTGGTTGAACTTTCTATTAAATATGTGATTAAAATTAATTTTTGACTTTGATTTAGATTCAAAGTTAGATTTTAATTTCTACTAAACATGGGCCTAATACTCTATTTATTGTTACTTCTACATTTTTATTCTTTAATCCTCCCTAACATGTTTGAATCAATGACACAATCTTCTTCAAATTATGTGACATTCACATATTTAATTTTATTTTTTCATATTAAACTGACATCCTTTTCTTTTCGTTTTGAAGCATTTCAATTTCTAGGAGATTTATAGCAATTAATTTGTTTATAAGATATCATATAAAAAATGTTTAATATTCTACATAATAAAGTGTTCTATATAATATTTTAATCTTGTAACATGATTTAAAATTCTATTCCATTGTCAAAAAACATTTGATTTTCTCTCATGCAAAACTGACAGTACTGAATTGGATGTATGATTTTTTTTTTTTAAATTTTATTTCAATTTATTGTGATAGTCTCACGATATTTATAATCTTATTCTATTAAGTTGCATTCATTCTATGGATGCAACGTCATAACATATTCACAACTCAATCTAAAACTCTACATCCGTCCTATAGAGAAATGCTTTTTCCATCTTCACACAGATTAAGAAAATGTAATGATTTAAATCATTATTTAATGTAGCAAAACATTATGATTTAAATAGGAGCAATTCATTTTTGTTGATAAACAATGTACATTAAATATGGACATATTAAAAATTGAAAAATCAAATATACACTCAACAAGAACAGTGATCTATAATTTGAAATAGATAAAAAAGAAAAGAAAAAAAAAAAAAAAGAAAACCCATCTTTATGGTACAAAGCTTCGTGCAAATTAGAAAAATGATAAAATTATGACTCACTTTTTACATGACTATTTTAGCCATTCATACATGATTTGAAATAAATTTGAGATTTTTAATTTTGTCAAATTTGACCGACACCTTGACCAGGCGCACTAATTATGTCAGACATTATCCATAGTCAAATTTTCATATTTTCTTTAACATATTTTTTTACATTCAAATATTACTTGAATAATGTAAAAAACTAAGTATTGGAATACGTTGATTATTAGTGTACTTATTATAAAGTAAGAATAGAAAATAAGTATTGCTATTCAAGTTTAAAGGGCAAAATCTCGTGTTTATTTTAAAAGTTTAAAATATGGTGTTTTAAACTTATTTTTGACGATTGATTCTTTCTAATAGAAAGCATCTTATAGTTAGAGATTCTCCTAGAAGGGCTTAAATTATGACTAAAAGTCGAAAATTAACTACGATATCAAAACATGGTGTTAGGCAAGCAATTAGAAAACAAAGAAGCACATTATTGAGATCTCAAGCAAGGGTAGGTTTCTTAACTTTTCATTGTCTTCACACCTCATTTTCTTGCTTTTGTCACGATTACACCCCATTTGTATTACCCAATAAAATAACGACAGAATTCACAGAGGAAACATGTCCGTTTACAGAATCCCAATTAATGAAATCATTACTGTTGCTCAGCCACCCTCGTTGTTATTCTCATTCTTTTTCATTCTCGTATTTTTTACCGCACAATCTTCTATAAAATAATATTACACGCAAATCAAAAAATTTTCATTCTTTTTAAATCATACATTTTTTAAAAAACAATATTCCAATTATTAAATTTCAAAAGAATGGAGGCCAAACGGGACTCATATTTTTCCATATTTTTATGAATTATTCTTCTTATATAATCGAAGTTGACAATGTACTCACAAAAGGAGGTACCCACGAATTTTTTATTCAACATGAACCCCCCACGTGTATCTAATTATCAATCGAAATTATCAACCCACTGTACACACAGCACAATTGTATTTTTATCCCTCAGCCCACAGAAAAATTTGTGTGTGTGTGTATATAGGAAGGAAAAAAGTGTGTATAAACTGTACATATATAGAGAGAGAAAGCTTTTCACTTCGAGTACTTTTA